TAGTCTCTTGCAGGTAACGCACTTGCCTACAATTCGCTTAACCAGTTGTCGTCCTTTCACTACCCAGTACTTTGATCGTAGTCTACATAAAGTCGCTCGTACACTACAATGATGTACGTCACTGTGTGATTTTCGAACCAATAACTCTGTTAATCTGTGATCCTTTGGCAAGATGATTGGGTATCTGGCACTCAATTCTAAATCCGAATTCTTCAATCAACCTTTGCACCTCAGAATACCTTCTTCCTCCACTAATCTTAAAGAATTACTCAGCTGATCATAATTCTTCTGATCCTTCAGTTCTGTCTGAGCTTTCTTAATCCAAAATCCCTCTGCTTCAGCTAGTTCCTCTACACTGAGCTCTCCTCTACGTTTATCAACATTCTTTACTTTAGCTTGAGAATTAAACTTGAATCTAAATACCCATGCTGTCACTCTAAAAAGCTGTTCTGATGTACTGTACTTGTTTAAGTCAATCACAATGGTTGCATGATCTTGCTGGTTAACCTGTACTAACATTGCTAATGGTTTTCTTTCTTCCTCTATCACTTCAGGTCTCTTCACATTACACTTAAATTTAGGCCATTCTTCTTTGGACTTAGAGAGCCAATCTGGCCCCTCCCACCAAAGTTTACTAACTTTCAAATTTGAAGCTAACATCCCCCTTGAACCTATATCTGCAGGGTTTTCTACCCCTAGACAGTGCCCCCAATCCTCTTTGTTTGTGAGTTTCAAAATTTCATTAACTCGATGATGGACAAATTGCTTCCATTCCCCTCTATTCCTTATCCAGTAAAGGGCAGTAATGCTATCAAGCCAGAAACAGGTAAAATCTATCTTAACTTGGGTTCCAAGTGCCCCTTTAACTGAGTTCATGAGCTGGGCAAGGAGTCTGGCTGACATCAATTCTAATCTGGGTATGCTTGTCGGTTTTAAAGGCGCTACTCTTGCTTTAGAGGTTAGTAGACGCACATACACTCCTACACTTGTTTGGTAAACAAAATAGATCACGGCACAATATGATTTCTGACTTGCATCACCAAATCCATGCAAGGTACACTCCAAGACCTCCTCCTCTGGGTTATCATATATGCAACGAGGAGTAATTTTTTCATTTACTTCTATTAAATCCTTATACCAGACTTCCCATTTCCTAAGTATTTCTCCAGTGAACACCTCATCCCAATCAATTTTTGCCTGGCATACTTCTTGAAACAAGATCTTGGCATAAACCATTATAGGGCTCACTATCCCAATAGGATCAAAAAGACTAGCTAAAACACTTAACAGATTTCTTTTCGTAGGTGATAGAGTTCTTGCTTTTTCACCTGTCTTTGCAACCTCAAACTTTAACTCATCCTTATTGTTATCCCATACTTGACCTAAACCTTATGGCATTTTGATTCAGTTCCCTTCATTCCTAGAGATAATTTTGCATATGATTCATTCTCATCTATTCTATCGCTCTTCCTGTCCATGGTCTTCTCTTCTAAATCAATCTTATCTTTCAACATTCTACTATTTGTTAACCACTTTCGCATGTTGAAACCTCCCTGTGCCATCCTACGCTTTGTCTTATTGTACAACTCTAATGCCTTTCCTGTACTACCCTCACCACTGACTAGATCATCCACATAAAACCCATCAAGCATTTTTTGTACAAACTCTGGATCTTCTTCAACATGTGTAGAGACATGGTGTCTCAAAGTAGCATTGAGCAGGAATGGTGATGAATTAAACCCAAAAACTACTCGGCAAAAACGATAAACTAGTGTCTCCTGGTCTTCATTCTCAACATTCTTCACCCAGAGGAACCTTAAGCTATCTCTATCTGCTCTATCTACTTCCACATTCAGGAATGCTTTCTCAATATCGCCTACTAACGCTACTCTTTTTTTTCTAAACCTTATTAATATACTATACAGCAATGGATTGAGAGATGGTCCAACATGCAAACAGTCATTAAGCGATGTTCCTGATTTTGACTCCTTTGAGGATGCATCATAGACAATACGTAGTTTTGTGGTCACAGCATCCTTGCGAATGACCGCTTGGTGTGGTAAGTAATGCACCTTGTCTGCCTTCTCTAGACTCAATACCTGCTCTATGATTCCCTTTTCTACTTGCTGTCTAATTATTGAATCATATTCTTTCAACAATTCAGGTTCCTTCTTCAATCGCCTTAACTGGCTCTTCATTCTCGCTAGACTATTCCCGTAATTGTCTGAAAGCTTGTCATGGCCTTCCTTCCAGGGCAGTTTCACGGAATATCTACTGCCTGTGAAGGTCACGCCATCTAAAAATTCCTCATGAACACCATCCTTGTCAATTATGCCTAACCCTTCCAAACTCCAAAGCCTTTGCACATTACTCTCTAAACTATCATTGTTCCACTCCTGATTACCTATCTGTGCTACAAAATTTACCTGAGCTACTCCAACCCTTTCTATGTCCCTTGCTCTAAGAGGACCTGACAAAACCCAACCTAACTCTGTTTCAACAGCTACTGGATCCTCTGGTCTACCTCGCCTGGTAACACCTGTTTGAAACTGCCAAAGATAATCTGCTCCTATGAGAACGTCTATTTCTAAAACTTCCTGGCTACAAACATCAGAAAACCATGTGCCCTTCAAGTGCTGGTAATCCTTTCGTGCTAATTCTATGTGTGCATTTTGTATACTGGAAATTTCTGGTACTACATAAGCTTCTACACTTATGACCTTATCCCCATGCAGAGGTTTAAGCTTTAATTCGACCACATCCCTTTGTTCGGACCTGGTACATTTCTGACCGAACATATTAATGCCTAACAAATCCCGTCTTAAACCCTTGGGATCAACGAGACTAGCTGCTTTCGAAGTCACAAAGAAGCGATGACTTCCCGCGTCAAACAGTACCCTGACCTTAGCCTCCCTTTCTCCCCTTAAAACCCCGCGCGCAGTTTGCAAGGCAACCAGGCCACCAATTCCTACATGCAAATTGGTAGGACTAGATACATAAATTTTAGGGTCTTGTTTACTCATATCTTTACTTATTTCCTCATGCATAGTTTCTTTGTTGTCATTATCACACAGGGCAACATGATGTGTGCCATTGCATTTCTTACACTTGGTTGATACACTACAATTATTAGCCCTATGGCCTTTATCTAAGCATTTAAAACATCTACCAAACTTACGTGCTAAAGTCTTACGAGTTTTTGGATCCCTTACTCCTGGACAGTCTTCGTGGGCATGTTGTTTCAGACAGAAGGCACAACAGTTTTTTCGTTTCTCATTCGCCAAGAGTGCAGCAGCAGTATAAGGGTTCTTTCGCTGACGCTGTTGCTCTCGTTCCATATTGCAGTCGTTTCCACGGCATTATGTGCTTTTCTCAGTTCCAATTCTTTTACAAATGCATCCAGCATTTCTTCCATCGACCATTGTAGAAAATCTGTTCCTCTGGTAATCGTCAACCGAAATGATTCCGGTAGTTTCTCGACGATGACTGGAACAACAATACTGGAGTAAGATTCCTCGCTCACCCCCAGTGCTTTCAACGCGCGGTTATGTGCTTCACAGCTATCATATAAATGGCGAAGTCCTCGCGTGTCTCTTTCCTTGAATACCGGCGACAATTGAATCAGTTCGTTCACGTGTGCTCGCTGGACTGCGCTCTTTTTATAAAATCGTTTCTTTAAGAGTTCTACTGCTGACTTATAATTTGCTTCTTTCAGAGAAAACCCAGTGATTGTTGACTTTGCTGGTTCTTCCAACAGACCGCGTAAATACGCAAATTTATCGACATCAGACAATTGCTCATTGTTATCGATTGAACTTGAAAAGCTGTCCCAAAACTCTTGCCATTCGCAAATCTTTCCGTTAAACTTTCTGAGTTCAAGTTTCGGGAGCTTAGCTCGAACGATTTTACCGACTGACATATCGCTGGAGGTTGACAAATGACTCTGATTAAGGCTTGCATCCGCAGCGTTCTGCGTTGTCGACACTGACAATGGCGTGCTTTGTCTCAATTTACATAATTCATCCTCGAGTTCGAGTAATATTCTTTCCAGTTCCGCTATCGCGTTGTCTGAGTCTTCAATTTCTTGCGTTACAAGTTCATCGACGTCTTCCTCTTTCGATGCGCTGATTATGTCAATTATTTGTTCGTCGAATTGTCTTATCGTCTTGATTTTTTCTTTCAAGTTCGTTTGGCTCTGTCGCAACCATAGTACGTCTTTGTCTGGGCTCTCACCTTGAAGCCTTTCAACTATCTTCGCCACAAGCTTTTTAGCTGACGATCTGTGGCCTCCTCTCACTCGTTTCTTCTTGACTAGATCTTCCATCTGACGATTCAAGTCTCGAAACTTCACGCAACTCTATTCTCGACCGCGACGCAAATGTTGACTATTTGCGCGTCCTTTCTTCACAATATTAACAATCCGTCTCGATCGGACCACTGTGTTGCGGAACTTGTGATTCCACCGTCTGGTTCATTCAGTAAACGCTCAAGGGACTGTATTTTATAAGTGTATTGATTGTAATATGTGAAAGTATACTATTTACAACGTGAGTTTTAGACTGTTAAACATTCCGATTGTCTCGCTACGATCTGACAGCAACAATGACATTCAATCACTACCTAGCTATTTGATTACCCTACCAAATTACAATGTGTCACTGTGACGTATCAATTTACACATACAAAGACTTATTTACGATTTAACATGAATTACGTCAATCACAATACTGATATATTACATGAAGTATATTTAAAGTTGAATGAATTGGCGGCGCTGCGCTGGGAACCTACGACAGTTTTGCGTTAGGATAGTTTTTTCTACGTTATAAACACAGAAACCTTATTTTGAAGTATACTATCTAGCGATCACCGTCTGTTATCAGGCTATTCCTCGAGGGAACGGCTGGACGCGTGAGGTGCTGACCTTGTCTGTGACGTAGTTGAAAAAAAATTAATTATGCATATTTATCGCCGGAAGTGAATTGAAGATTGGGAAGGAGCAAGGAGCGACAAGCTCTAAAGCCAAATTTTAACAAACTATTTGGTATCTTAATGAGAGAGACTTGAAAGATACATTTTGTTGGAAGAAAGGTAATTGATCATGAGATGTGCACGTGTAGACTTTGGCAATACCAAGATGACATTTGATATTTTAGTACACATGGTAGCTGTGGGTCTGTGACCTTTCTACCGTGTGTAAAATATTCAATTCTGTTGTCATACAAATTAGACTAAATTCGTTAGATAAAGTGGAGAGCAGGGCCCATTAACTTAAATTGGTAATATATATAAATTAGCTTTAAAGAATCATAGTCCCCTTGCCATGCAAAGCATAAGTTATAGCTTAAAGATTCCATTGATCATTGATCTAACTGTGACTATAGTACAGTAAGATTTTGTGTGTTATTTGATGAAATGGCGGAGCTCCAAAATTGACGTCCGTCTCCTAAATGCCAGGAAACAACGCATAGAGACTTTCAGACTTTGGAAGGCTCTGCACCAGTGCTGTAGAACTAATACGAATAGTCCGCGAATAGATGACGAATAGTACAAATAGTCGACGAACAGTGCAATAGAGACTTTGGAAGGCTTTGCACCAGTGCTGTAGAGCTAAATTTACCGGGGCTGGGGGTGGCTCTATTGACAAACATAAAATCGTGAAAACATTCGAGAACCTACCACCGAGCTTTAACAAAATATTTAACAGGAAGTAGCATGACAATCACTAGAATGACATTTTCCACTGGGCGAATTTGTTCGCGCGAAGCGACAAGTAAAAGAGCAGGAACTGATCCAACTTTTTCGCGGCGAATTTTTTCGCTGACCAATCAAATTGCCGAAATTTGGTTTTCGCTTTGCGCGAATGAATTCGCCCAGAAACGGGCCGGCTTAAATTAATTAATAAATCGATACCTTCTCTTGTTTCGTGATGTAAATCACGTTTTACAAGAACACGAAATCACTTAAGCCCTTAAGTCTTCAGTTGCAACGTCCAGGAACTTGCTGGGGTCCTAAAAAGGACAGCGAATGGGCATAGTCTGATGGGCCCAGACCCAGTTAGAGAATGGAACAAATTTTAGTCGAAAGCTAGATTATTTCAAAAAATGTTTATTTTCGAAGTTACCGTTGTTTTATATTTTATTAAAATATTCAGTGGTTCCCGTAACTTTTACCGGTTACGTATGACGTCATTGACGTCAACGAATGTTTTCACGATTTCATGTTTGTCAATAAAGCCCCCCCCCCCGGCCACCCCGCCACTCCACTTCTGTAAATTTATTTCTATCCGTCGACTATTCGTACTATTCGTTGCCTATTCGCAGACTATTCGTTGACTATTCGCACTATTCACACTATTCGCTTCACTATTCTAATTTTATCAATTGCCGATGAATATTCCATGGTTGCAGTCCGATCTGTTTACTGCCGTTTGAAAGTAAATGTTGAAAACAATACATTTCAAGAATTCGAGTAATTTCTTAAATAGAACTAGTTATTTTCCCTCAGCGGTACCCTTTGCTTCTAAAGCAGTAAGGGAGTGTCATTATTTATGATTGGAAGGGGGGGGGGGGCGGTGAAATCATAGGGCGAGGGAAAAAAGTGAAATCATAGGGTTTTTTTTGGGTGGCTCACCTGAGGAGGAGTTAATTGAGGGGTCATGAAAGTTTTAGTTCTGACAATCTTTTGACCTCTTTAAAATATGTTATTATACAACATAAAAATTTTGAATTATTAAATGGCTACAAGTTCACATGAGCTTTTGCACTATTACTAACGTCATAAAATAAAGACTTTTTAATTGTTTAACTGATATTGTACATACCATAATTATACATTTGTACTGTATTTTACATAAAATGTGGAGTGGGAATGTGCAAAAAAATTTGTTGCTCTTTATTTGGGGGGGGGGGGGG